CCCCAAAACCCCAAAACCCCAAAACCCCAAAACCCCAAGCCGTGAAATAAATATTGAATTATAGAAATATGTCCAGCGAGAGAAAGGCAGTGATACAGAACATGAATGTGCCAAAATTCTTAGTGAATAAATGGCTGAATATCCAAAACCCTCAGTCTAGGTTTGCTCAGCCTCATTGTCAGATCGACAATCAAGAGGATATCTCCATTTATTCTGAGTCTAGTATGTCAAAGATATCATCAATGAACCTTCGTAAGAGTTCGTTTGTCTCTCTAAAGAAGAATAATAAGGACAAAAAAGAGCGCTTGGCAATAAAAATTAGCGGTTTATCTATTACTCTTGGCATAAACGAAAACGCCTTGACGTGTAAATAACCAAGAAAAAGCTAGAAGCAAATTTTTCCAAGTAAGGTTTTTAAATATTTCCTAAGTTTTATGTAACGAAAGTTAAGCTAATCTCATACTAAACAGAGGATTTATTCCTTTCAGCTTAGCTAATTACATGCTGCAACCAACTTTTAAGATGCTTCTAACCTTTTATCACTATAGAATACACAGGGCAATAATACGACACTAAAGCCACCTGAAGAGCAAGAAATAAAACTGAGTGAAGAATCTCAGCAAAGCCCCTTTAAAGATGTGAACCGAGATGCCTGTAAAAGGCCTAGCTTGTTCGAGTATCCTATCTTTGAGTTCGGCAAATCTGAAGACAAGTCTTCAGTGTCCGGTGATAACACAAAGGAAGATGAATATTTAGAAAATATTGAAGAAGAGCAAGGCCAACAGGTAAGAAATTCATTATGAATACTTCAAAAGATTTTCGCCTAACCTCTTGTGTATAGCCAAGAATTAATGTCCTTGATGGAGAACCTCAGAAAATTTTGGAGAAAAATGAGCAGGAAGTTTCTATCTTCTCTGAAAAAGACCAACCGAAATCTATTCATATCAGTACTAGAAGTATTGATTCTCAGGACGAAATTTGACCGAAAATAGGTAAATATCAGAACCCCTGGCCTTCAGGATCATTTTCTTCATCTTTTTTGTTATTCTCCAATCCTAAGTTTATTTTACAAACCGAAATAATTAATTCGTGTGGATATCATGACCTCCTCACCAACTGTATTTTTAGAATTTGTGAAAATAACACAAAAGGAAAATACTACAGCCAAGAAATTATCCAGAGAGCAGAAATTAAATCAGATATGTCAAAATAACTGCGATGCCGATTTATTCCGTAATGAAAGGATAAACAATGTTGCTAATTCCTTTCTTCCGACTAATCCTGTGCTCAGTGCTATCCAGAACCGTACTGCTAAGAAGCAGCAGAGAAAGATCCCTATTAGCATAAACACCTCTAAAATAAAGGGAGGCATCTTCCGTAGGAACAGGATTAAGGAAGAGAAGGATAAAACTCTTCAGCTACAGATCTGAAATTTTAAGAAATATGAAGAAATCGCTAACAATTTTGAGCTCAGGAATTACATCGCGAGGCAGAACAAGTTGCAAGCTGTACAGATTAAAACAGTAAGTTAGAGTACTGCTCAATCTTGGCCCTGCCATGTTTTGTCCTTGAGTAGGACTCCTTTATATGGAAAGGTTCACCAATCATTTCTAAAACCTGGTTTATCAAGCATACTATGAAGTTCGATGAAATATTTCTTAAAGGTTTATAAACCCTTTAAAAATGATTCAAGATAATGCTAACGCTTTATATAGGCAAATAGAGCGAAACGCGTTCATAATGTAAAGACCAGGAATAATTTATAGCAAAATCTCGGCTTCAACCATCCCAAATCCAGGCGCAAAAGGAACAAATTTAGGGTACGCCTTCGGTTTATTATCCCTTCAGAGTATTGATGATGCTAAGAAATTCAAAAGAGCAAAGGCTAAGAATAATTTCCTCGCAGCGACACCTGAGCTGATAATATCCTCAAATACTCAGTAACTTAGCTTCTAATTTTTCTAGGAACCTTATGCCTTTGCCGAAGATAAAGAAGGGGAGGAATTTGGAGCATTTCACTTCGAGCTATATTAATCCTCTAAGTGTCTACATAAATAGGAAAAGTAAGTGTTAATTATTGGCCTATTCTAAAGAACTTAGGAAGTAAACTGAATTATTTAAGCAAGTCTCGGCATAACAGTTCGTTGAACCATTCAATCGGTAAGCTATATGCTAATTGTCCAGACTCTAGGCACAGCTATAATGCAGAAGCAGGGGAAAACAACTTACATAGTATCTCTGTTCAGGGTTCTCATATTTCATTTGTGGATTGTAAGTAGGAGCTCTCCATTATTATAAACTTGATTTGAAACTAATGACTCCTGTGGGGTTTTGGGGTTTTGGGGTTTTGGGG